TGTATGTATGTATGTATGTATGTATATTACACGTATAAACACCATTAAAGAGATGTTGCTTCGCATGACAAAATTGAATTTACTGGCATATATCAGTGCCAATTTATCGTCGAAATGAGTGAACGAATCGTACAGGGATTAGTTTTTCCATTGCGGGAAGTTAAATTTCTCAGCCTTCGTCATCAGTGTGCTATCTGGCACTAAACTATGACATCTCACAAAAATATTTTTGGAAATCCAAAGAAAAAAAGCAAAATTCTACTTTTCTTGAAAAAAGAAGGAAGCAAAACTTTACTTTTCTGGCCATCGTTTCTTTCAGCTTTTCATACTGAGGCACATTTGACGATGTATCCAGCACATGAGCATAACAGAATTCCCTGAACTGCCCTTGCGCACCACCATTGCCGCTCGATGATGGGACATCGTCGTCATCAAGTGTTATAATTAACTGCTAAAACAAAAAGCAATTTTTTCTCCCACTAAAACAATAATTAAAAAGAATTAAAAAGAATTTTTAAAAAATTTTATCTTTTTTTCCGTTATAACCGCCACACTGATGAGGTCCAGTTGCATCACTGAATGGGAATGTATACGACTTAATGGACCGAAACATTCCAAATCAGTTTTTTTCTATTTTATTTTTACTTTTACTTTTTAGTTACAACCTTTTTCATAAATATTTAATTTTAAATTAGGAAAAAAGTTTAGCGAACTTTATATTTTAATTATATCTTGGGCAACAGCCGATGCCTATTCCAAAAAGCAAATAACGAAGATGAAAAAAAGGCAACATGTATAACTAGCTAGGATAACAGCTATCTTCTCCTGCCCAAACAGCATGTACAGGGTTTGCCGATTAACGCCAATTTCATAAGATCGTCGATGTCTTCAAAGTGTCGCACTAAAAGGACACATCTGCCCTAGAGTAGGGGTACATTACGGCAAAATCACTAATATGAGACCCCAAAATGATTTTTGATATTCACAAATATAAAGTTTGCCAATAGGTAAAATTCACTTTCACCACCGAAGAAGCGCAGATTTGGTGCTTAAAAATGTATACAATTAATAATCCAAATTAAAAACCGTTAGATTTAGTAATTACTTTAATTTTTGCAATTTATAACAAGTTTTTCGAACGGAAAAAAAACACAATAAACTTATTATGAATAACAAGTTTCTGAATAGGTATCATCTCAAAAATTAGTTATAAAATGCATCTTACCTCAAATTCGTTATCCGCAACATCCGTATCAGTTTTTGAATCAACAGCTGTACCCTCGCTGCTCTTGGGATGATCATCCTCAGCATTTCCGGGAAGAGATGAGGCTGGCTTGCTGATGTCAACAGTTTCCAATAAATCTGCTAAATTATCAGTGCTATCGATGATGACAGTGTCCATAGACGCCACATCTTCTGCCGTTAAGCCTCTACCATTCATACCAGGCGCACAGGAAAGCAATTCCGAAATGTTGCATTCTGAAGTTTTTATTAAAAAATGAGTTTTATCAAATCAAATAAAGTAATGCTTCCATCCTAAATAACCCGAATAATATGAAGGCCGGCTGGGAAGGGTTGGATGAGAGGGGGAAGGCGGGGAGGAGGGGGAGTAAAACCGCTGAGAAAGGAGGGACAGGAGGGGGTTATGACTAAGATTCTTTTGTTTGATAATCGCTTGTCTCCATCCCTCCAAATACCATTACCCCGCTTACCCCCCCCCCCCCCCC